TTCAGGTTTGTTCTAGCCCTATCTTATATGAGAAGGGGGCTATATTTTCATCTCCCACACCTGAGAGAGGCTGCAACTGTCCCAGCCCAATCCCAGCTGCAGTCGCTCTCACCACCCTGCACTCCAAGACTTCTGCTATCTAGTTGTTACACACATACACACACACACACTATATTATTGTGTTCAGACTAAATCCACTCCTGAAATAAACCATGGTAAAATCCGTAATAATGAACCTGGATGGCACTATTATTAATTATACCAACTACTTAATTTTTATGTAGATGCAGAGTTCCATCTCCCTGCCTATTTATAATTTAACATGAAAATTCACATGCAGAAGAGCTTTGGTATACCAGTAGCCTATAGGTGATGCAAACAGTTTGTAGAAGATCAGAAATCATAATGATGAAATAAAATCTTGCCGTACATACTACACAACATTCAATGCTATTCATTCTGCTGTCCATCTGGGTTTTCTCCTGTGCTCATTCGTTATATGTTTGTTTTTGAGAGCTAGGTATTGTATTAAAGACTGGAATTGGGGAGGTATAGGTTTTACCTTCACTGCTGAAAAAATAATAGATACACAAACACACATACACATACACACACACCTCAGTCTATTGTACAGGATTTCTATTGTGGGGGATAAAATGGAGGTCATGTGGCATATAAATCAAATCAGAGCAATCAATCAGTAATCTGATTAGTCTCTGCATATTTTCATAGGCTGCATAAGGTTTGTAATCACTGCATCTTGAGTTGCATTGACAATTATATCATAATGTCTTATCATTTTCTTCCAAGAGAAATCCAATTAAGAATACAAAACTGGTCTGAATTTTTTTTAAAAGGGCAAGACTCAAAGTGCATCCATCTCTGTTGGTGAATTAGCTGTTGTAAGTATCATAGAGATTGTCTTTTTAGATTTTTATAGTGTTGTAGTGACAACTGTTTCATCTATGCCCTTTCTATGATACTTAATATGGTATTTTCTTAACACTTTCAAATAGTGTTAAAGCAGTCAAAGGTTTTTCCTTCAAAAATACTTGTGAATACAGACTAGAGTTTTCTCTGGCAGAAATCTGGAAGAGAGCGAGAAACTGTTGGCATGCTGTTAAAAAGCTTACATTAGGAAAGGAATGTTTTGCACTGAAAAGAATTGTGGTCTATAATTAAAGCATCATCTCTGTTTGGAAACTTAAATTATGATGGATGCCACAGACTTCTCGGAAGCTAGTGTCAGACAAGGCATACCACACCATACAGACAACTGAGTATTGATTTATTTATTTAGAGACCTGTTTGATCTATGGTTGATGCTAAAATAAATAGATATTCTGAAGGTCACATTTAATGATGTAGTTTTTACTTATGTGTCCATTGTAATAAACAAGCAGCAATCTAGGATTGGAACCTTTTATCTGATTGTTGGGTAGTCTCATACAAACAAATAGCACTATCAATAATACTAGTAATTTATACAACCTTTCACTGAAAAGCTATGCATGGTGATTCTAATTCATTTTATACTTATGAATACAGATCCAGCAGGATATTATTTACTGGAGATTAATCTGGTATTTAGCAGAAAGATTATGTGCGGGGGTGTAACCTTCATTCTCATTTGTGGCTGCTAAGGAAAACTTATTACTCAGTCCTTCCTCTACTCCAGTAGTCATCTCAACTCAATGAATTTAATAAACTCTGTTAGATTTTTGGGATGCTCAGCCCAGGAGTATGGTGTGAAGGAGCTTTTTGACATTCCATAGCTCTGGGTTGCTTTTTTCTTTCCTTTTTCCAGCGCTAGCCTACATATTAGGCATATTTTGTCTGTTTTCTGTATGTAGGCAAATGATGCTCACCTCTGGCTTATAGTTTATAACAAAAATGTCTGTTGGTAGATTGGGAATTAATATTGGAATATGTGAAAGAGTTAACTTAGTAATAAAAACACATCTGAAAGTGGCCTTGAAAAGTACAAATATAATTGTTCTTGTAGCTCTTTGGAGTATGCTGTGCTGTTTATTACAACTGAAGCCATAACCTCTGATGACTAATACTTGACTCAGCCATCATTTTAAAAAAAAAATGATTCTGTTTATAAAAATAAAATCCACTGAAGGACACTGGCTTTAAAGGAAAATAAAATTTATAGGCTAAAGTTGTATCAGTTTTATCTGCCACGTTAGATGTTCACCAGTAATTTTAATGTTGATTCAATCATGATTGTAATAAGAAAGAACTGCTTCCAGTAATTAGGATCATTTTCATATACTATTAAACTCAACAATGGAGATTTCAGTGCTCCATGATTACATTCAGATGTAATATCAAATTCTGTCTTCTTTTACCCCGTATTGTTTTGTCTTTTTTTAAAAAAAATATTGATTTTCCAGTTTTACATTTACATATTTGAAAAGCAGCATGGCGGCTGGGTTGTTTCATAATTCAATAGCATACAAATTTCTTCAGTACAAATCACAAACTATTACATTAAATATTTCCTCTCTTTTTCCCTTGGTATTTCTGTCTCACATTTGAATTAATACAATTCTTATTATATCAATTTAATACACATAGCTTTCTTATATTTATCAATAATTTTTAGTTTATACATACCTTAGTTATTTTAACATTCAATCTTTTTAGACAATCTCCTGATAAGTTTTTTCCCAATTTTTAAGTTTCCCATAAATATTTAAATTTAACGTTTAATAAGTTTTCAAATTTTAAATAACCCCAATTCCCTTTATCACAATTCATCCCTGTATCTTATATCAGCTGGTTAATAATACAATATTATTTTCTGGTAATTTCCAAATATCTTAAATTTAATAACCAACATTTCTTTTATTTCAACATTTAATACTTCCTCTTTTTTCTCTCAATATTCTCCTATCTTATATTTAAGCTAATAATTTTTATTATTGTCACTAAATAAAAACATATTTGTTACATTCATCAATACATTTCTAGTTTATATATATCTTAATTGCCTTTATATTCAATATTCAAATTTAACTATTAATGTTTATATTTCCAATTCCTTTAACTCAACTCATAACAATTTCTAATATTCAAGGTACACATCTTATCTATTTTGAGAATATTCTGTTTTAATTCTCACTAGTAAGTCAAACCCCCAATTTTCTTCAGTCTTGATATAAAATAAGCTTACTTGCTTATTTACTTATTTGACATAATTTAATGATTTATGTCTATCCTTGGCAGTCTTATTAACCTGAAAATACAGGTTCTTCCAAAGTTGTAATTGTAAATAAAGAAATGGGGAGGGGGACAAACCTTAGTGGTAAGATGAGTTATAGAAGAAATATGATTCCAGATACTTTGGAAACTTTGTTTTTTGAAATTTGATGCCTAGAGGTTTAAATTAGGATAACTCTGAAATAAAATAGGAGTATAGTTATTGATAGAAAGCTGGATAAAACCTTTTTATCTTTCCTCTTAAGAGGTATGCTAATATTGACCTGGTAATTTTAAACTACATATAACTGAGACCAATGTATGACTTAGTCACAGACAGTTTGCTTGTGGTATATGAACTAAGAACATAAATATCTTTCTTTTGCATCTCATCTGCAGCATTTAACAGGAATATGTGATGCCTGTATTTATTTTACTATATATTCTTCATATTTATCTTTAGAATATATTTTTTTATTTGTTTAGGGTTTTTTGGTAAAATACTTCCAGAATATTAACTGTCTCTTTTGGGAGTTGAGGTGACTTAAAATTCACATCAGCTAAATAATGTATCTGTTCATTTCTTTAATAGCAATTTGTGAAATAGCCAACTACATTACTTTCAATGTATGAGATTATAGGTAAAAATAAAGCAAATCATGGTTGACTCAGTTGAAGTTGCAGAATGCTTTGATCGTTCTCAAATTAGTGCAGATACTATTTAACTGCTTTTTTTTAAAGGGTGGATCAAAGGCATTTGTACATGTGTCTGTTTTAAACAACGAAGCTAATGTTAGAAAAAAGTAGTACTGTATGTTTAGTAATTTCCTGATAGATGTCGAATAGTACACCATGTAAAGATGAAAATGGTTCATAGCATATATATTTTGTTACTGGGAGTCAGTTTGGCTAGACCAGGGGTGTCAAACTGCTGGCCCGCACCCACTCCATTGCCAGCAATGGGAAAAAAGTCACGATACGTCATGACACGTCACGTGACATCGCAAGTTTGACACCTGTGGTCTAGTGGTTAAGGCACCAGGTTAGAAAGCGGGAGACCGTGAGTTCAAGTCCTGCCTTAGCCATGAAAGCCAATTGGGTGACTTTGGGCCAGTAATACTCTCTCAGCCCAATCCACCTCACAGGATTGTTGTTGTGGGGAAAATAAGAGAAGGAAGGCATCTTAGATACGCTTGCCACAAAAAATAATAAAGGTGATATATAATTATGCATATGCATATGTATATGCATATACAGTACATATACATATGTACTGTATATGCATATACATATACACATATACATCTCACTGGCAGTTGTGTCTATTTTTTCCAAACTTATTGAGAACATGCTGCAAATGGCTATTTGTTGGTAACACTGAATGTTCTTATTCATATCAGTGGTGTGTGGAGAAAATAAATATACTATGATTACTGTAACTATTCGGCTTACAACCTGTTCTGTGAATGACACTTGTTTTACATTTACAATACTTGTATTTCCAAAAAAATAAAGATTTTAACAATTCATTTGCGAAGTACTGTAATGTGTCATTTGGGAACTCATCAGAACAGAGTAATCAATATCATCTGAGGAGGAATTCTGCTGTTGAAAAAAGTAATTATTATGAAGAATAGAAACAAATGGCCATTTGTTTTACTGAGATTAAATGATTTTCATAGGTCTGATAGATGGAACCTAAGAGACCTGCTTTTGTTTCACATTGTAACTCATGCAAACTCACGAATACATAGTATACCATCACTCTCTCTTTTCCTTTCTCCTTCAAGATTTGGTTTGGATGCCTTTTACATTAATTTGACCTGCCCATGTAAAGAATAGACTCTGGGAGAAATGCTGAAAAGCACTTGGCTTCCTCTTTCCGTGGAAAACTGAATGGAATGTGGTGTTAATCTGTGAAAGGAGACCCTTAGAATTTAGCTGCAGTGATGAGTTCTGAAGAGAAAGGTATATCTCCTGCTCACAGAACCTCCACACCATCACATAAAGCTGACTCCTCTTCATCATATTCCCAGTGGGATACTAGGCAGGTAAGTGACAGAATATTCTTTTAATTATGGATGTAGAAATCCTGCAAATTAGTTGGGAGGTTCTTTATTTACTTCACCTGTTAAAGAAAAAACTGAACATGTTCAGTTCTATTGTTAGTTAGGGTTTTTTTTCCATTCCACCTCTAACAATATTGAGTTATTTTCAACCCTCTTTCAGATGCTCTGCTGCCATTCCCTGATTCCTTATGATCAAACAGTACTGGCAGGGTCAATCCTTTGCTTTTTCTTTTTTTGGAATACTGATGGTAATGGCTAACCGTGTATCAAAGTGAAACATTGGTCCTATAAAGCCTGCCATTTTACTTCCCAAGAATGCCTCTATATCCACAAGGGACCCATTGCTGTTCTGAGGAAATTTTCCTATCAGAGCTGCCTTGAGAGCTGTTAGCTTTGTCTATAAGGAAGAGATCATAAATGGTTATATCATTCTTTGTAGAATATATCTTTGTGACTTGAGCCAACTTACAGAAGTAATTTGGAATTGGGCATTAATTATTAATTCCAAATCTAAACATGATTTAGCTCAAAGATAACTATATTTTATATGGAATATTGCTGTTTAAAATAATTATAAAAATGTGATCTAAGGTATGACTAACTCCTGGTCTTGAATTGTGACATTACCCACACCAAAATAAAACACTTTTTTGTTTTTACATAAGGACTCAGCAGTGGCAATCGCAAATGAGATTCATGATTCACAAACAAGCAGTTGCGAATTGTTTTATTACCCCCAGGTTATGCCAAAATTACTCTCTAGTAATTATTTCCAGTTTAAGAAAGATGCAGAATTGATAATATTGTACTCCAGTAATCATTCATCATTTGTTAATTAGTCTTTTAATTTCTTGAACCTTAATGTGATCATTTTAAATTCTGTCATTAGAAAAATTTCTGTCTCCTACAAAACATTAGTCACACTTGCTATTAAGTTGTTTTCATGATGCATCTATTTTGCTGTTGATGTTGTCTCTCTATTACCCTTACTAAATGGCTGAGGGTGGTTAGAATTAAATGTAAATCATTTAACTAAATAAAATAAAATAAAAGCATCAAAACATTTGAGACAATTAAGCAATATTAAAAGCCAGTCAGAAAAGATGGATCTTTAAAGCTGGACCTAAGCGGTTAAAGCTTTAAAGTATTGATAACAATACTTATTCCCCTCAAAAATACAAGTAACAAGTTCAGCCGTTTAGAAAAAGGTATAAAATTCTCTGTTATTAGCCCCAGACTCATTTCTGGATGCTGCAATTCCTAAGCTATGTATAAAGTAGAGCATATTGCTGTAATCTGATCTGAAAGTTATGAACTGGTACAATGTTTTGATGTCATTTGCTGTCATTATACTATACAGCTAGTGAAAGTGTTCATCTTACATCACCCAGGCGAGATCAGCAAATTCTCCAGCAAAGGGAGGAATGTAGACTCCACGTGTGGGTGTTAATTGTCCTCTAGCCCAATCAGACCAAACAATCAAAGTCGCCACGCCCCTTCAGGGTCTGAGCATGCCCAGTTTCTTTTTGGTCTCAGCCCTGAAGAGACGTGTTTTCTTTGGCTCCTGATTAGGCTAGAACTCAGGTAGTACATTTCTATTAAAAATTTGGTGGGAGAAAATCAGCCCCATTCAGAGTTGCAAGGACTCCTTTTTCTAACATTCTCTGCTGAGAAGTGGCTGATCGTTTCAAACGCTGCCTTGTGCAGCGTGGCGATCGCCATTCCTCTTCCCCCCCCACCTTCCTGTATTCGGTTTTCTCTCTCTCTGAATCAGCTCCTAACAGCTTTGTCTTCTTGCCTTGCTCACTTTCTTTCCCTCTCCGCGGTTTCTCTCTGCCTGCCTTCCTCATCGAAGGCACTCTCCAGGTTCCCCTTTCCTCAGGGGAATACTTTCAAAGGTTTTTTTCCTTCCTATCGGATCGGCGCGGCCGCCATTTTGGAGGCTTTTTCGCACGATCACTTTTAAAATTGAAAAAGAAACCCTTACTGGACGGGAAAGTTCCAATTCGAGCTCAGAGAGTCTGCCCCAGGGGAAATAGGGGCTCCTATTCCCCTTCGTTGGGGCAAGCTGCTTACAGCCTCGGATCATCGCGGCTGCCATTTTGGGCCTCCGCGCGATCTCAGCATTACCAGGAGGCTTCTCCTCTTTTAAAATCGCAATCCTCTGCTGCCTCGTTGAGAGAGAGAGGCATATTCACGTGGGGGCGTAGGGGATCCTACCCCCTCTTCTTGGGACTGGGCCTTTCGCTTGTCCTTTGTCCCCCCCCCTTCTTGGACAGACGCCATTTTGATCAGCCTCGTGGCTAACAGCAATAGTTTTCCGTGAGGCATACCTTTAGAGGAATTACTGCAACTTAGATTAATTTCACTCTATTATATTCCTGCCTGCTAGTTCCTTTTCATTCAACTGAATCAACTGGACTGCTGTGACTTGCTTGCCTGTTCCGCTGTCTGCATCTGGTGGCTGGCCAGTTGCTGTCCCAAGGGCCGCCACTAAGTGAGGCACGAGGGTTCCC